TCACAATGCTCTAAATGGGGGCACAAATCAGATGATTGTGTGTTGAACAAAGGGACTATGGTGAATACGGGACAAATCATCATTTTAACAAAAGAATTACGTGAAGAAAGTGGAAAGAATCAAGCAGACTTGGTTACTATTGGCAGTGAAGCAGAGCCGATTAGAAGAGAGCATGGTATAGTGGGCGGTGAAGTGGTTAGGATAGAGTATCAATCCCAAACCTCCGAATAGAATGTAGTTGATAAGCACAAAGAATCAGATTGGCAATCAGTGTCCCCAACAAAGGTTGGGAGGCATTCGGAGCCTAGCGGAGCAGAGAAAGAAGTCGAAATCTCTCCATTAAGATTTCTGTGTTGGCTGAAACAGGAGAGGAAGAAGATGAAATACACACTGACGTTGCAGAAGACAAAGTAGAGAATGAGCATATTGAGGATGGAGAAATTGTTGTAGAAAACAGAGAAAAAAAGCAGACGGTTTCGACGAAGGTTAGAGAACAGAGTGCTCGGCCTAGTGTAACACCCCCGATCATTTATAGACCAGAAACGCTACTGACGAATACTTAGATGTCCGGTAAGAGATTCTTGGAACATATCCAAATTCTCTAGACAAGACTTCTAAGCGTTCGTCTCCATTAGATACATCTCAAGGCTTGCCAACCCGAGACATACGCAATGGTTAGTTCGTCCGGACAATGACTAGTATCACATGAAACCCGAATTTATGCAAACTCGATTTTTTTATATATAATTTATACATAAGTTTTAAACGTGATACAAGCATATAAAATTGTGTGTCTAACACTCCAAAACGATCATGTACATAATAAACATTATTTATTTACAAAAGGCAAGGAAATCTACTGCTGAATTTCCTAATGTTCCTTTGGCCCCCGATGGTCTACCCGCTAATGGTTAACCTGCAACACAAGTAGAGTCATGAGCACTAGTTGCTCGGTGAGTCTAGGCTCCCCTAACATTCAATAATCAATTCCCAACCAAACCCAAAATAACAATCAACACGCAAAAAAAATGCGATAAGTTATGCAATGTCAATATAAGGCCTTTCGCGTAGACTATTTCCCTCCACGTCAAATCACAAGATATCCATCAGCCCGAAGCCACAAAGGCTAAAGACTTAAGATCCTTCACCGTTCCAATGGCCTTATGTATATAAGGATCCGCACCGGAAATTCTGCATCGTCATGCAGTACACGGCCAAAGGCTGCAATCCTGTCTCTCTGTGTCTTCATGTACTTAGACTAATAGTCAACGTACTAGCTAAGTCATGGCTTTCAAGGGAANGTCTTACCGCGATCATC